AGAGCTAATAACAAGATACGCATATGTACCACGCTAATTAGTTTGAATTAACTATATTTTAAACACCTTTCTTCATATTGAGAAGAACACAAAGCTGCCAAGGCCGGTCAAAGGAATCTCATTCGTTTTAAAACATTCTGGAATGTGTGTAGTGCTGTTGATCCCTTTAGGAAGCAAGTGTAAGCGTGAGTACAGATATCTCTCACTCAACCAATAATCAATATTCTCTTCATGGTCAGCGTAGCCAAAATCGTATTCTTATGACAATGCCCTGTGCCAATGGTGCCTCTGTTGCCTCTATATTGTTGATCAAATTCATACTAGGGGATCTTGCCATAGAGATTATTGATGTTTAGTCATATCTAATTTCAGTAGCGTCCTCTTTAATGCTTATTATGGTTTCCTCTTTTGTCGAAAAAGTTGGTTTATTAATAGCCACCTTCTTTATAAAAAAAATATTCCTTATAGCTAATTAGAAACATTATGAACATAATCTGCTCTTTAACATTCCTAATTATTTTCCCAATATCAAACTAAAATCATAATAATATCATTATTCATGAGCTTGACTGTTCTTTTTATCTAACTATTGCTTTCTAACAAACCAAAATATTATTTTAGACGCATTTTATTCGATTTAATCTAATTTAATCAACTGGTATTATCAAATTTATTTTGTCATTCCTTTCAACTTAAATTTATTAGTTTGCTATGGCTGCTACTTTATCATTAGCAATTACCACAAGATTTGAGGTAAATGAAATTAAATTTAAATTATTCAGTCAAAGCAGTTAAAACCAACAAAAAACTGATAAAATCATGTTAAATAGGGTTGAATGTTGTCTCACTGGACAAAACTTTCAGAATATCTATAAAATTTATTCCTGGTTTATTGTCTTGAGAAGCAAATCTCAGCAGCTTACAGCAGACAAGCACCGTTTTCAATTCCGTTGACCCAAAAAATAGAACCGAGGATAAAGCCCAATTAATATGGCTAAACATTTGAGAAATATTTGAGGAAACCTTCAGGCTTCCCATGGTCTTTAAGTACATAAAGGCGATACTATTCCTCTTTTCCGAATTGATCCAAGACTGCATGTCATGTTCAAATTACAGATGATAAGTGAAGGTAAAAGATGATGCCTTGGAACGATTTTTAAATGAAAAATGAAAGCACTGAAGTACAAGAATGGAGGAAAGCCGAAATGTGCAAAGGGGGAAGTTAAATACTATCTAATTAATTGAGAAGTAGAGTGAGGTAATTATTCACCAACACTGTCTCCGAATCAACAGCTATATTTGTCTTGAGGCGATTCTTAAGACATCGGCTACCTGTCAGATTTTGACAACTTAATTAAGAAAAGTGATCTGGTGGTTTTGAGAATGACAACTGTTGGTAGTGTTTGTATTTGGGAGTTTAAGAGTAGAGGTTTTTTGAGGTTGGTTTTAGCTGCCCGTTGTGGTAAGCAACTTTGAGGTCGATTCATTGGCCAAGTACCATGATATTAATGTCATGTTATAGATGTAATTGCTATCATCTATTATTTTTTTTAAGTTGAGGCAGTTTGGGCGAATTGTTGCCTTAGACTGTTGTGTGCTCCCCTTTCGCTATAACTCAGATTTTACCTATAAAATCTACTGGCAAATAAACAATACAAACAAATAGACGTGCTCTGGTTTCACTTGTCATTGAGGAAGAGTGTCTCCCTTTTCTTTTTTGGTTGAAAGAGCCACGCCCGTGGTAGGTGGTGATTTAGAATTAAGTCACTATGATGCAGTGTGTAACAGAATACTTTTTTTTGACAAACAGATTTAAGCCTTGTCATTCATCCATTTAGCTGAAAACAGTGCGTATAATCCGAAAGTCTCTAGGAGTTTGTTAAGCCACCTCGACGGTGTAGAGGAAACAGGCGTATAGCAAGCATAAATTGTATTGAAACTAAGCTCACGGCAAATATTGAATGTAATTTAAATGAATATTAATATTAATATCTGCCCACACGTTCGATCCCTCCAGAATATTAAATAACGGATAAGAATCTTAAGTGTTAGGATGATGTACTTCGCAACTTTAACTATTTAAATCTTTTCGTGAGGTCTCAAAAAAAGTTGAAAGGGCACGCCGGAATTAGATTTTGGTAAAGTTTATTTATTTATATCAAATATGTGTTATGACAGTTATCATTAGCCCTTTAGTTGACTTCAGGCTTCACAGAGGGGAAGGAAATTCAAAGTGAAAAAAGTCGAGACGGGGGGGTGAGGGAAGAGAAGAGTGTTTCAAAGATGTAAAAGAAACTGACACAAAGGAAGAAAAAAGGTGAGGGGATTACTGTGGAAGTATTGGAATATGACATAGAGTGGGGTGATGGTAGTTTGAAGTGAGAAGTCAATTGTCAGTTAATAGACTTTTTGCCGTATGAGTATACGTTGCCCAGGGTACAACACATGGAGTTAAGTCTATTACACACCCCGATTTTGGTAAAGTTCATTTTAACTACATTTCCTCTAGGCCTTTAGGCGGGAATTGAACCAAATAAAATTTTTAGGGAATCGCTGAGAGTACGATGAGAGGAAGACCCAGAGTGCTTTGTTTAGCACAGCCCATCAGGTTCTGAGCTGTGGTTGTAGCTATTAAGAATAGATTAAAAATGGTGCAATTGTGAATAAGGCCGTGCCAGTGGTGGAACTTATACAGGGTTGACAAATATTTATATTTAAAATTTTCTGGGCCCCATCTACCGCTTTTTAAGGCCATAATTGTCTTTTAATATATCGTAGAGTCTTCTGTTCCCCCCTCTCCCCCTCCCGATTTTTTCAGTTCGATGTTCCTTCCTCTCTGCAAAGCCTGAAGTCAACCAGAGGGCTAATTATAACCATCAAAACGCCAGCCATTTGATATAAATAAATAAATTATCAGCAATTGGTAGAGCTTGAAGTTGTCCGTGAACAATCGTTAAAGGAAATGCACTCTCTAATAATCTTCTGTTTGGTCATTCACATTATTGAATATTCACAATCTTGCACAATCTTAGTTTGCATTTTCCTAACATGTTCCACAGCTTTTTTCAGACTTGCTTGATTGTAAATCTCTGCACTTGCAATCGGTTTCAAATGATTCTAAGGCAACCAAATCCTTCTCAAGATAATTTTGCTATTCTAAAGTAGTTAATATGAGTTAATTTTCAAAGAGGATTCGATTTATGTAAATTTAATTGTTATACTCTCTTATAATTTTGCCTTTTAACACAATGGTTAAATTAGAGTTGCAGCGTTTTACTTTTGAGAACCCATGCATTTAAATTAAGGGAAGCGGTTAGAAAGTACCTATTTCGTTAGCAGGCTTTGTATGGCCCGTAGTTTCAACATGTTCAGGATTTCCAAAAAAATTAATCGTGATAATTCCCGAAAGATAAAAAAATTTCCTTAAGCATTATGTCAAACCATAGAAATGATTTTCTTACTCGTGTCGTTTTAGGCATAGTTTGGAAAAATAGTAATCTTTAACTGATAACCATATACTGAAAGCAAAAGATTGGCAGCTAAGGATGGTTTGGGTTAAGTTAGTCTATTGGAACACTAAAATGGCTGTAACTAAGGAATCAAAGTTAAGGTGCTCATTACTGAAATATTTTTTTCAAGTGGCAGGCGGTTTGATAGTTATCATTAGCCCTTCAGCTGACTTCGGGCTTCACAGAGAGGAGGAAGATACTAAAGGGACAAAAAGTCGAAATGGGGAACAGAATAATGATTCACAGATGTAAAAGAAGCAGACAAAGTTAGAGAAAAAGGTGAGTTGAGTACTGTGAAAGGAGGCGATTATGACATACTTTCAGGCCATGGTAGTTTGAAGTCAGAAGTCAACTGCCAGTTAATAGACTTTTTTGTCGCATGAGTATACATTGCCCAGGGTGCACCACGTGGAGGTAAGTCTATCGCAAACCTCTATACTGAAATATACGAAGACATACTTCAAAAAAACCATATAGTATACATTCCGATACAACTTTAACACCAAAAGCTGAAATCTTTTTTTGTTTTTTATATCCTATACAAATGGAAGCTAGATGTAGCCCAAATCCCTCGTCTGAATTGTATTTTATTTATTCCATTTCAGATAGGTAATTAAATTGTCATTAACAAGAGGAAAAGAGGTACCCTTCTAAGGAGGAATTATAATCAAAATATTTGGTTATACATTCCAAAAAATAAATTCCATAAATTATGAACACATTTTTCACTCTTTGTCATTTATGACTACATTTGTAAACTTTGGCTAAAATTGGAAGATAAAATAACTATAATTATTTCGTTTATTATTTTGTAGAATGGATGTACGGTTAGAATAATAGAAGCGCAGATGAACTCACTTTGTCAGACGGCAGAAAATATAATTAAGCACGTAAAATTTTAGTACCCAAACTACGCCAACTTTTTTAAAGTAATTTCGAACTAATTTTTCAGTTGAAATACACTTATGGGAGGGGGGTCGACTAACTTATGGTAAATCGCATGGCATTTATGTCTCCTTCTTACAAGCCATTTATGTCGGTTGAGCGAGATTTTTTCATTGAACTAAGTCATCTTGGTTACGGTCCTTAAAGTAGAATTACACATCAAATACATTTTCAAAAAATTAATTTAACATATCCAAATAACCTAATTTATAATTTTTACAAAAATAAATACAAATGTATCAAAAATTTTTCAAATATATGTTGAGAAAGTCATTTTAGTCCTAGTGAGGCTATTGTGAGGAGACTATTCACGTCCTTATTTGGACCTAAGGTTTCATTAATTTCGAGTTGAAATATTTCAAAATTTGAAATTTCAACCTATTGTATATTTTTTTGAATATTCGTTCACTTGAATGTGAAAATTAATGTTGAGAACTTCGTTTTCTAATCACTCCCTTGCGTGTTTTTACGCGTTAAAATCCCAACAGATTTGCACAGCGGAGACTGTGAATCGGGCTGTCTGACTTCTGATTAGTTCATTTATAGATGGATTTTACTTCTGCCGCCGATAAATTATCTGTTGGTCATCGTCAGTTTTATGAATTGCCAAAGCTTCCCGATCTCAGTGACGTTGATTCAACCGTTTATCGCCTTACAAGTACTGTTAGATCGAGTACAACCGAAAGTCAGAAAGACACTGATATATCTGGTTTCGAGAAGACTGAAGATTTCTTCGATTATATAAATAAGAATGTTATTGGCTATAACAAAGTATTTACAAGCGCCTTCGGTGATCGACGGGGTATTTTATTTGTCTAAAATATGGACTCGTTTTATTTTTAATTAAAATTGAATTTGGTTGTTCATTTAGATCAGCTTTTAATTTTAACCATATTCTCACATTTTAGTGGTTTATTGTGACTATATTGCCTCCGGCCGTGCTCTATCTTTCATTGAGGACTTTATTTACAATGAAGTTCTCCCAAATTACGGCAACACCCACACTATGACCAGTGTCACTTCAGTTCAGACAACTATGTTCCGTCATGAGGCTAAAGACATAGTCAGAAATGCTGTTCGAGCAAGTGACTATGATGCAGTCTTTTTTGTTGGCAGCGGTTGTACTGGTGCTGTTCACAAACTCATTCACAATCTGCATCTTGAAAATCCTCCCATAGTCATTACCGGTCCTTTTGAACATCACTCCAATATGCTTCCTTGGAGACATTTAGCTGCAAAAATAGTTCGTCTCAAAACAGACAAGTCAGGGAATGTATCCTATAAATATCTTCAACAAGTTCTTATAGTAAGCTCCTAGAATATTGTTGCATTCTACTGAATTCTACTAATTGAAACCTGTCCTCGTTCATTTTAGGAGGAGGAAAAGAATGCCAAGAACTTGGGTTGTCATATAATCGTATGCCTAGCAGCCGCGTCAAATGTAACCGGTATCTTGATTGACGTTGACAAGTTCTCCGCCCTTGTTCATCGATACGGTGGTTTAGTTTTCTGGGATTATGCAACCGCTGCTCCCTATGTGAGAATCGATATAAATCCAGTTGTTGTGGGGTGAGATTGGACTCATTTTACGTCAACATTTGGTTAAAGACCTTTTACTAACTCGGATGTAATGTCGATCTTAGACCAGATCGTGATCTAGTGTATAAGGATGCTGTGTACTTTTCGATTCACAAATTTGTGGGAGGAGTCCAAACCCCTGGTATACTAATTGCAAAGAGAGTCCTATTTAAGGCTGGTGAGAAACATCCCGATGGTTGTGGTGGAGGAAGTGTATGTTTTGTTCGAAGAGAGCACCAGGTTTACTTGAAGGTGAGTTCCTTACTTCATCATCTTCCATCTACTAATATGGAAGGAGATTTACTGAATAGTCTTGCCTTTTCAGGATGTCGAGGAAAGAGAGGAGGGTGGAACACCTGCAATTGTTGAATCTATTCGAGCTGGTTTGGCCATGCAATTAAAGGAGGCTGTCACTCCTGAAGTTATCATGGCTCGGGAAGAGGTTGTGGTCAAGTAAGTTTCGCCTGAAACATATGCTTTTCGCTTTTATTCCAGATAGCAGTCATTGTGATTGAAGTATATGATTAGAATTATATTCATGAGCTTAGTTGTATTTCCCTATATTTGCTATCAAATAGACAGTGTATTTCTTTTTAGAATTATTTGTCAAAACTTCCATTCTTCATTAGCTTTTATATAACTGTTGTGGCATCTGCTCAGGAACGTGGCCACATAGAAGGGTTGCTTTGATTACTACAACCCGCTTAGTAACTGCATAAGTGGAGACCTTGTTTAATTACTTTGTTCCAGTCTTCAAAATTAAGGTCAATCATTAATCAATATTGTGATTTAAATAGCTTTTGGCATTGTAAGGGCTTTGAACTTGGAGTATGTTTTTTACCCTTATCATCAATGTGGCATGATCTCATTCAATTTTGGCATGCTACTTTTTCATGTATTCTTCATTATGATAGATAATGTTTATTTCAGGAGCAACCCCCCCCCCTCCCCCCCTCCTAAAATTGTTTTATGGCCTCGTGCAAGTTGCTGAATGCTAAGACCCTAAAGAACACCAAACTGTGCTTGCTTATAAGAATATGAGCAACTCAATGTTATCAGAAGTCAAATTCAAGCAAAGTCTTTGATGGCCTGCCTTTGTTAACTGCGTCTTGATCCCATTTTCCGTTTCATAATTTACTAAACTCGCCTAGTGTTCGCTGTATTCAAATGCCGTGGGTCTAAAACTTGTAACTTTTGTATTACTGCGGGAATATTAATAACAATAAACCCGTATTTGAACCTCATTAAAATTGTCTACTTTTCATTTTACTCAGATGATTCAAAATCTTTCGGGTTTATTTGCATTACTATGCGTTATAATAATAACAGTTGGCAGTACGGTGGTTGAAGTGTGATAGTGAAATTTTTACTATTTGTGTGTCAGTTTCTTTCTGAGATTTTTTTTCGTGTCAATAAAGAGTGTTGAGGAACTTTCACCATCTAATTTATCCGAACAACTATTTGGATCATATATGCGATCGCATACGTATTTGTCAATCACTGTAAGCTATATTATAGCTATCCGTGTCTAATGCTATCTGCTATTACTTGCGACAAATCCATAATTTCTGTTGCTTTTATCAGTAAAGGTGGTATATACAGAGATTATTCCGTCTTCAATTAAAATTTCTAGACGAGCGTGGGAACGTTTCAAGAAATGCCCAACTCTTCTAGTATTAGGGGGTACTGAGGCCCCACGCTTGCCCATCTTCTCAGTGGTTATACGTCACGTTTTTCCCGATATCACCTCTGAGGCTGGACGGAATGGTGAACAGCGACCGTGCGATCGACCCATGTTTCTCCACCATACCTTCGTGGCTGCTCTTCTCAATGACCTCTTTGGAATACAGTGTCGGTCGGGTTGTGTCTGCGCAGGGCCCTATGCTATGGATCTCCTTGGGATCGATGAATCTCTAGCCCAATTATATGAAGACGCTCTTGTTGTCAGGTTACTTTCTTTACGCATTTAATTGCCTGGACATACAATTTTATTATTAACCCCATAAGGCTACAGTAGTTAATGTAGTGGGGTACTCAGTTGTAGCATATTAATATGGTATAATTTTCATGTTTTAGTGGAACTTCAGCTTGCCACATGACGAAACCATATGAAAATGTATCTCGGGAGGTTCTGAGGTGAGTTGTCCTTTCTGATCTAACCATCAAAACGATGTTTCAAAGGTCTTCATTTTGTAACTATTTACTGCTTAGAGTTGGCTGAATATACCCGACTAACCCTTAATAAACGTTAGCACTGAGAAATATAATGTTTTACGTAGACTTTAGGGGGGAGGGGGGGGGGGTTGAAACCAAAGGGTGATTTTTTGACATCAACAACATGGACTTCTGTAGTGCTAAATGATACCACTGAACCCAGGCCTCTTTTTTTGACCATTTTAATTGCTAAGTTACTTGCCTCACGGATGCTTTATCAAAATAAGTGATGAATAATAGTCATGGTTTCCATTTTTAAAGTTTTCAAATATTTACTTTAGAATCAAATAATCTAATTGAAGACCTCTTCGATCATCGCGTAATAGATCAACTGAAATTGCCAATGCATCGATTTTTCATATTTTCATATCTTTTCCTTAGTTATGCGTCAAAACTGCTAATCCGTTGTGTGGATTAATTGACTTTTTCTCTTTGATAAACGCGCTATCTTTGACTTCAGGCCCGGGTTCACTCGCTTCTCCATCCCCTACTTCATGCCCGATGATGAGGCGGACTTTGTTCTCGAAGCCGTTTGCTTCATCGCTGAATACGGCTGGGCCTTCCTCCCTCTATACACCTACGATACCATGACTGGTGAATGGAAACATCACAAGCAGGATCATCTGGAAGGTCGACAGTGGCTAGGTCACGTCAAGTATGCCAATACGGGCATGGTTTGGCGTCGTGCTAAACCCAAATCTCGCGGTCCTCTTCCAAAGACCCTTCAGGTTTGCTATACTCTAGATCGCAATTTTACGCTGACTAAACTACGAATTTTTTTCTCTATTTTCGTCCTTAGGACTGTCTCTTAGCCGCTAAAGTAGAGTTAAAACGAGCTGTGGACTTTGTGAAGAACTCCACTGTCTCTCCAGTGCCTGATGTGACTTCTAGTTTCGATCAAATAAGCCAGAAACTCCGATGGTTTGTTCTCCCGTGTGAAGCCGCGGCGCAGATACGTGGAGAGATTGGTCAGTTGGCGATTTCAACTGGCCCCTCCTCACCCTGGGTACCGGGCACTATGGATCCTTGTACAAATACCTTATTTAGTATGGCATCATCGCATTCACTTCGTTCGGAGAAGACTCTGTGCTCTTGCTCTCAATATGAGATTACTCAAAGGCCTGCAAGATCAGCATCTCCTAATCAATCCACCGCGTAAGTTTTCATTTTAAAAAAAATAATAAAGTTAATTTTGGGGGAACTTCTCTTCGAGTGGCTTGAAATTCTTGCCTTAAGGATTGTGGAAATCCGTCAAATAAAGCACTACTTAACTTCTCCCTCTCTCTCTCTCTCTCTGAGTCCATTTTTACGCTTTTGCTGCCGACTTCTCTTGTATAGTGGTGGAGTCTTCCTTCGGCGAATTATCTTCCACTTATATGATTTCTATATTAAATGATCACTGTTCAGGACATTTTTCAATTATTAGGCCATATTGGAGAATCTACTCTAATGGTCTTTTACTGTTCGCATCGTAGAAGACAGGGATTAAACATTTAATTTTAGAGGGCACCAACAGAGAAAGAAGAAAATCGCAATAACTTGCGCATTGTTATAACTTGACCAGAAAATGATTTTGTAAAGTAGATTAAATTGTTTTGTTGACTTGGTCTAGTCCTTTGAATGAAACTAAGTTATTTGGTAGCTAAGTAACTTGTATGTAAAATGTTGAATTATATTATGAGTTTTTTATGTCAGAGGTTATTTTAAGCCGTAGAATTAATAGTTCCGTATCATATACACAAATCTCCTTTGTTCATTATCATCACTAACAGGCCATGAAATGGCATTAGTTTGTCTATTATTATCTGTGCTATTTTTTAATGAACTGAACATTGGCACTACTCTTTTTTATTTCATTCTTTTCCTTAGCCCAAATTCTCATTTGAGTAATAGTGCTCACTTATCTTCTGAAGAAAGCTCTCAGCGAGATTACCAACAAAAAAATAATAATCATATCGATGATAATTGCGCTACTTCAGTCCTCTGCCGTAGGTCACCAACAGTCAGTGAGGATGACTTTGTTGGTAGTGACGAGGAAATTGACATTGAAGAGTTGGAAGGTGTTATTAAGGGTCTCAATGGACCTTACGTTCCCGCATCAAAAACCAAAGGACTAATTAGACCCAGTCTGCTTATGAACAAGAAGGATGAAAAGTCCCTATGGAGACGTCCAATCAAGCAGCTCTACAAGCCCTTCCTCCAAGCTATCAATGACTTTAAAATGATACAGTCCGGAGATAAGATCCTGGTCTGTTTATCGGGTGGAAAGGATAGCTTGTCGTTGTTGCATTGCATGCATGCCTACCAGGAGACGTGTCGGCGACGTCCGGATTATCCCTTCTTTGAGATTGGAGCAGTCACCGTTGATCCGGGAAGTTCGGCCTTTGATCCAAGACCCCTTATTCCTTATCTTGCAGAGCTTGGAGTGAAGTATCACTATGAGGAGCAGAGTGAGTTTTTTCATTTAATTCTTCAGTCTCCTTGTTGTTTAATACTAATTTTGTTTATTTCCGTTTAAATAATATGTACATTTATTTGGAGCTCCCCACAAAGCTGCCCAATTGAATGAGAGCCTGTGCCGATTTCAGATCCTATTCATTGAAGATGGCGATAGAGAGAACTCTTCAGCACTTTTTGGCTCACTTTCCTAGCTTTAATTTAATTCTCGAGATTATATTCATGGAAACACTTTCATTTCGTTGAGCAGCCTTGAATTGAAGGCATTTTTATGAAAATGCACATTCGGCGGTGTTAAAAATAGAAGCCTCACAAACGACCACTCAACACTTTAAAGGCACCATCCCATGTTTTTTACTCTTCTTTGTTAGATGGCAATCTAATTGAAGTGAACAGTTTTACTCCAGTAACTTTTCACCCCCCCCCCGCCCCCCGCCCCCTACTGATAGTAATTAAGCTGTGCAATTTTCTTAATAGAAATCATGGATAAAGCAAGTGAACTTGGAGAGCAGTGCAGTAGTATTTGTAGTTTTTGCTCAAGAATGAAACGAGGAAGGATCTATGCAGCCGCTCTGAAACACGGATACAATGTAATAGCACTTGGACAACATCTGGATGATCTCACGGAAAGGTTAATCTCACCATTTTATTGAATCAGTCATTATTATTTGTTCGGAAGTTTTTTAATTCCAATTTATCTTCTGTAGTTTCATAATGTCATGCTTCCATAA